AACAAGACTTGGATAAGAGGGTGACTCCCTCCTTAGTAAGGAGGGAAGAACCCCCAAGCAGGAAGCAGGAGCCAGGGTTGAGGGCTGTAACAGATAATGAGGAGAGAGCCCCCAGGCAGGAAACGGCAGATGGCTAGAACAGATAGGGTAAAGGCCAGGAAGTGAGCGGAGCGGTTGGAACAGCTAAGGGAGACGAACTTGTCTGTCAGTTTGTTGTACTGTGGTGGCCTACATGTTGCTGTGAGGCTGGAGGCTGTGCCAGCAGGGTTGCCCATGTAAACAGGTTTCAGCAGAGCCTCCAGACTGAGACAAACGCAGAAAAAGGAAGAGGCCATCCACTTCTCAAAGAATTGGCCAGTGAAAACCTTATGAATAATAGTGAAACACTGTCCGATGTATTACAGGTCAGCTTTATGAATAGCCCTGAAACGTTGTCTAATACAGTGTGGAAGATGAGCCTCTCAGGTCAGAAGGCACTCAAACTATGACTGAGAAAGAGTTCCCTCATCAGAGTAGAGCCAGCCTTAATGATATGGATAAAATAGAGCTCTCAGGACCTCCATTTGCTGATGTGGCACAACTCAATATGAGAAGAAACAGCTGCAAACATGCATTAATAATTGAAACATGGAATGTATGAAGTATGAATCTAGAAAAATTCGAAGTTATCAAAAATGAAATGGAATGCAAAAAGATTGATATCCTAGGCATTAGTGAGCTGAAATGGACTGGTTTTGGCCATTTTGAATCAGACAACCATATAGTTGCCTATGCCGGGAATGACAAATTGAGGCGAAATGGCATGGCATTCATCATCACAAAGAATGTATCAAGATCTATCCTGCAGTACAATGCAGTCAGTGATAGGATAATATCCATATGCCTACAAAGAAGGCCATTTAATACTACTACTATTCAAATTTACGTACCAACCTTCAAAGCCAAAGATGAGAAAATTGAAGATTTTTACCAACATATGCGTCTGAAATTGACTGAACATGGAATCAAGATATGCTGATTATCACTGGAGATTGGAATGCAAAAATTGGAAACAAAGAAAAATCACTGGTAGTTGGAAAATTTGGCCTTGGTGATAGAAATAACGCTGGAGGTTGCATGATAGAATTTTGTAAGACCAATAACTTATTCATTGCAAATACCTTTTTTCAACAACATATACAGTGGCTATAAATGTGGACTTTGCCAGATGAAATACACAGGAATCAGATTGACTACATCTGTGGCAAGAGGTGATAGAGAAACTCAGTATCTTCAGCCAGAACAAGGCCAGGAGCTGATTGTGGAACAGACCATCAACTGCTCATATGCAAGTTCAACTTGAAGTTGAACACAATTGAAACAAGTCCACGAGAGCCAAAATATGACCTTGAATATATCCTTCCTTAATTTAGAGACCATCTAAAGAATAGATTGGATGCAGTGTACACCAGTAACCAAAAACCAAAGGAATTGTGGGATGACATCAAGAACATCATCCATGAAGAAAGCAAAAGGTCATTAAAAAGACAGGAAAGGAAGAAAAGACCAAAATGGATGTCAGAAGAGACTCTGAAACTTGCCCTTGAACAAAGAGTAACTAAAGCAAATGGAAGAAATGACAAGATAAAAGAGCTAAACAGAAGATTTTAAAGAGCAGCTGGAGAAGACAAAGTCATTTGTTATAATGAAATGTGCAAAGACCTGGAGTTAGAAAACCAAAAGGGAAGAACACACTCAACATTTCTCAAGCTAAAAGAACTGAAGAAAAGTTTAAGCCCTGAGTTGTAATATTGAAAGATTCTATGGGCAATATATTGAATGATACAGGAAAAACCAAAAGAAAATGCAAAGAACATACAGAGTCACTGTACGAAAAAGAATTGGTCGATTTTCATTCATTTCAGGAGGTGGCATATGATCAAGAACCGATGGTATTGAAGGAAGAAGTCAAAGCTGCACTGAAGGAATTGGCAAAAAACAAGGCTCCAGGAATTGACGGAATACCCATTGAGATGTTTCAACAAACGGATGCTGCACTGGAGGCACTCACTCGGCTATGCCAAGAGATTTGGAAGACAGCTACCTGGTCAGCTGACTGGAAGAGACCCATATCTGTACCCATTCCAAAGAAAAGTGATCCCACAGAATGTGGAAATTATTGAAGAATATCATTAATATCACATGGAAGTAAAATCTTACTGAAGATAATTAAAAAACAGTTGCAGCAATATATTAACAAAGAACTTCCAGAAATGCAAGCTGGATTCAGAAGAGGACATGGAATAAGGGATATCATTGCTGATGTCAGATGGATTTTGGCTGAAAGCAAAGAATACTAGAAAGATGTTGTGTTTTATTGACTATGCAAAAGCATTTGATTGTGAGGATCATAACAAATTGTGGATAACACTGAGAAGAATGGGAATTCCAGAACACTTAACTGTACTCATGAAGAGCCTGTACATAGACCAGGAGGCAGCTGTTTGAACAGAACAAGGGGACATTACATGATTTAAAATCAAGAAGGGAGTGTGTCATGGTTGTATCCTTTTACCATACTTATTCAATCTGTATGCTCAGCAAGCAGTCTGAGAAGCTGGACTGTATGAAGAAGAATGTGACGTCAGGATTGGAGGAAGAATCATTAACAATCTCTGATACACTGATGACACAACTTTGCTTGCTGAGAGTGAGGATGACTTGAAGCACGTATTGATGAAGATTGAAGACTGCGGTCTACAGTATGGATTACACCGTAATATAAAAAAAGCAAAAGTCCTCACAACTGGACCAATAAGCAGCATCACGATAAATAGAGAAAAGACTGAAGTTGTCGAAGACTTCATACTATTTGATTCTACAATCAACACCAGTGGAAGCAGTAGTCAAGATAGCAGACATCATATAGCATTGGGCAAATCTGCTACAAACGACTTCTTTCAGGTGCTGAAGAGCAAAGATACCTCCTTGAAGACTAGGTACACCAGACACAAGCTTTGGTATTTTTAATTGCCTCATATCTATGTGAGAGCTGAACAATGAAAAAGGAAGACCAAAGAAGAGTGGATGCTTTTGAGTTGTGATGTTGGCGAAGAATGCTGAAAGTACCTTGGTCTGCTAAAAGGACTAACAAATCTGTCCTGGAAGAAGTACAGCTGGAATGCTCCTTGGAAGCAAGAATGGGCAGACTTCGTCTTACCTACTTCGGTCATATTGTCAGAAGGGACCATTCCCTGGAAAAGGATAACATGCTTGGTAAAGTGGAGAGTCAGCGAAGAAGGGGAAGGCCCTTGACAAGATGGATTGACGCAGTGGCTGCAACGATGCGCTCAGGTATAGCAAGGATCGTGGGGCTGGCACAGGAACAGGCATTGTTTTGTTCTGCTGTACATAGGGTCACTATGAGTCATCAGAGATGACTTGATGGCACCTAACAGCAACAGACTTGGATATTCCCAAATCTCTGTCATCCATTCAGGTGGACCACTTTCCTGATGGCTGATTGCCAGTATTTGTTGACTTTTACTAGGTTCACTTAGACCACAGGGCTTAGCAAACTGTTGCCCGTTTTATAAAGAGAGCTTTATTGGTACACAGACACACCCATTTGTTTACATATTATTTATGGCTGTTTTTGCATTTAGACTGGCTAGTTGCCACAGAGAGAATATGACTCACAAAGCTTAAAACACTGATTATCTGGCCTGTAAGAAAAGGTTTGCTGACCTTTGACTTAGAGTAATCTTACTTCTGAGTTCTTAAAAGAATTTTATTTCATCCCTGGTTTTTGAGATAATATGACACGTTAGAGGAACTATAAAATGTAGCTAAAAGCTTTATAAAAATGTTTGCCCAGAAACTAGAACTACAGTTCATGTGTTTGGTTCATTTTTAAAAAATGATTGAGTTAGGTAGCGTAGCAGGGTTTCAAGGGATTTTTTTCTCCAAGTTTTAATTGTGTCAGCTGTTAACATTTATCTATGTAAGTTAAGAAATCCTAAAAGGCAGTCAGATTTTTCCATTTCAGTAGCTTTAGTTTAGTTTCAGAATATAAATGTAGTGGCTCTGTGTAGTTCTAGGTAGGCAGGCCTAGAAAGTAAAGTTCCAGTTTCCAGTTAGTTCTGGTTTATTCTTGTTCCCACCACGTACCCATATGCTTGCTGAATGGTCTGGAGGATGCTAGTGATTGCTTATTCATGGTGTGATGACTTGGGTTAATGTGCAGGTCAGAAGAACTACAGATGTACTTTGTGTGACAAGTCGTTCACCCAGAAGGCTCACTTGGAGTCCCACATGGTCATCCACACGGGCGAGAAGAACCTCAAGTGTGATTACTGTGACAAGTTGTTTATGCGGAGACAGGACCTCAAGCAGCATGTGCTCATCCACACACAGTGAGTTACCCTGCAGCCAAGTCAGCCATCTCGAGGGCTGGCCCATGCTCACTACTCGTCTCTTTCCTGCCTTGGTAGCATGTGGATGCTTCCTGCGTTCTGCGTAGCCCAGCAAAGGTCACAAAACTGAGTTCTATTCTCAGAGGTTTGACTTGTTTGCTCTTTGTCTTATTTTTCACTTCTACTCTCTCTATTTATTTTTATTCATATTTCCAGAACAATCTCATTCATTTATTAGTTGAACAGGTATTTTTTAAGCACCTACTCCAATGCCCAGTGTTGTTTAAGGTAGTGAAAATACAGAGAGTAAAGACACAATTCCTGGCTTTAAAGAGCTCGAAGTCCAGTAAGAGAGACCAACAAGGAGCCCTTTATCGTGCAGTGATGTAATTGTTGGAGTAGCAGTGGATGCTGCAGATCACAGACTAGGGCACCTGATGGCCCCCAAGGGGATTCCGGGAAGATTTTGTGGTGGTTTGAGCTGAGCTGTAGAGAGGTCAATTAGAATTGTTTGAGAGAGCCCAAGAAGGGTATGGAATAGCAGTTCTCTTCCAGACAGAGGGAATAGCATATGTAGAAATAAAGATGCAAACAGGACAATGGAATGCAAGTGTTTCTTTATTAGAACCAGGACTTCCAACCAAATGTCTAGTCACTGTAATTGTTCCTGTTATCACATAGTTTCAAATCTGGTGCCCAAAAGTGGTTTCCAGCTGTAATCTGTTCAGTGTATGTTTCTGTTGCTTTCAAGTAACTCTTGTTCAGTATATAGTAATTATCTTCTTTGACTTTAATTATTTATTCTTTCAAGTGATGCCTAAATTTATACTTGCTTCTTTGTAATCACTTCACAGTATACCATGATGTAGATTATTTTGAGATTACTTATATACCTGCTTGTCTCCACTTGGGTTTAGAATTGTCTCTACCAGGCACTGACCAGGGGAAACTTAGTTCTCTCCAGAAATCTGGATCTGGACTTTGTGAGGGTGAGGAAGTAAAAATAAGCCTCTTTGCCAGACTCTCATGGGATAGAAAGACATTTTTGGACCATTAAGCTATATGAGTCATTTGTAAAAGAAACATCATTTACTCAAAATACTTTTTAATGAGACTTCAGGCTCCCTGTGGAGATTATTAGCAAAATTTTCATGTTTTTACTTTGGGGCATTTCAAAGTGGATATAATATTGTTGAAATTACCCTCTTAAGGAGCTGGTAGTATAGTGGTTAAGACATTTAGCTGCTAACCAAAAGGACATTGGTTTGAGCCCACTAGCTGCTCCACAGAAGGAAAATGAGGCAGTCTGCTTCTATGAAGATTTAGCCTTGGAAACCCAATGGAGGTTGCTGTGAGTTGGAATCATCTCAGTGGCAGTGAGCTTGGTTTTTTGGTTTTTAGTTACTTGTCCTCTTAGAAAACAGCTGTAGCCCTAGAGGCAGATCTAGAAGGAGTTCCTCTCCCACAGTTTTCCCAGAGAGAGTGAGTTGGGGCAGAAACTGACTTTGCCCTTTCTGTAAGAAAGAGGAAGTTGAGAGGAGGGGCAGTGATGCTCACTGCTGTGTGTGTATGTTGGTCTGCATGTGTGTGAGCCTTTCTTAGGTATATACCCAAGACTGGAGTGCATTGCTACTGCTCAGTTCCCTGGCTTTGCATTCATCTTTAGAATTCTCTGTCTAGCCTCAGAGGTCTAACCACTTGAGCATCTCTGATGCTTTGGATGTCCACTAGGCAACTCAAACTTGACATGTTCGAAACTAATCTCTTAATATGTCTCCCACAAATGTGACTTTCCCCCAGTGTTCGCCTGCTTAGTAACTGGCACCACCATTTACCCAGGTGGCTGAGGCCAAAAATCTTGGTTTTATCCTTAACTCAGTCTTTCCTTTTTGCCTGCAACACTATCACTTAGTCCAAGTCACCAGCATCTCTTGTATAGGCTGCTTCATTAGTTTCCCAGCTGACCTCTCTACTACTGCTCTGTCTATCCTCAATCAGTTCTCAACACAGATAGACACGCTCAGGTGCACACGTACAAACACCCTGTATTCTGTCCACAGTGGCCAGGGTGATCCATTTAAAATATGTCAGAGTCTACCTGTCTCCACTCAACTCTCCAGTGGCTTCCCATATGGATTTCCATGATGAATGAAAAGCCTAAGACTTGACCATGGCCTGCATGTTTCTTTATGATGTGATGCTGGTACTTGGCTACCTCTCCTAAACTAAAAAACAAACCCAGTGCCATCAATTCTATTCAGTAGTGATGCTATAGGACAGAGTAGAACTGACCCATAGGGTTTCTAAGGCTATAAATCTTTATGGAAGCAGACTCCCGTATCGTTTTCCCACAGAACAGCTGCTGAATGCTTTAACTACCGTACCACCAGAGTGCCTTGGCTACCTCCCCAATTGGTCTTTTATCACTTTTCTCCTCATATTCTGCTTTAGCCACACTAGCCTTCCCTAGCTACTTCTTGAATTGACTGAACACACTCCAGCCTCGAGGCCTTCTCATTATACTTCCTCTGCCTAGAAACATACAGGAAAACCTGTGAAAGCCAGAATCAGTGTAAACAGAAACCTGTCAGAGGAGGAAAGCTCAGGTATTTTCCATAAAATGAGCAGTTGGCAGTCAGTGTCACAAAATAAAATGTGTATTAACTGTTGAATGGAAAACCAGTTTACTCTCTAAACTTTGACCCAAATCATAATAAAAAGTTAATTTAATCAATAAATAATAAAATGAGCAACGGGAAAGTGGTAAGACTGCATCCTGTCTAAGGTGGAAAACTTTCAAGATCTGGAAAAACATGGCAGTTCCTGCTCTCTCAGGTTTCACTCTTTTAGGGCACATAGTACCTATGTGTTGGACATATGGAAACCACTGGACTAGCAAGTAAGGGCTTAGACTTCTTATTTGGGCTTTGTTTTGGCCTGGGGCAACTTAGTTTTCATGCATTTACATTTCCCACAAGCAGAATTAACAGATTGGGTTAGGTTGATGGTTTAAAAGCTGCTCCAGAGCTCTGGGGGCTTTGCAAAATTGCCCAGGGCCCTCTCCCTGTAGGAGAGGGTGATAGAAATGCTAACTATGGAGGCCAGGCTTCAGAACTCCCACCTCACCCTTGCTTTGAATATTTTAACTCCCTTTTATCTACTTCCTGTAGTGGGCTTTCATTAAGACATAGGGTTCAGCTGCTCAAAAAGACAAGTTTGAAAAAATCCCTGGCCTGGGACTTTCCAGTAAGATGGAGGAATAGGCAGATAAGCAACACAGACCCTCTTCAACAAAGAAAAATAAAAACATTGACAGAGATACAGATGATAATCCTGGAGCCCTGAGCTTTGAAAGGAACTATATAGAAGTAGATTAGGCACCAACTAGTGGAAAAACCTGAATGAAAACAGTGAGTACAGAGACAGTTGGAGCAGCAGACTGACAGCTACTCTGACAGACCAACAGCCTGAATATTTCCAAATGGTGTTGGGACCTGAGAATTGACCTAAAGATCAGTCCCTGGTCACCAAGGGCTGCAGGGACGACTGCACTGGTGGCCTATGACTAGGAAGAGAAACAGCAAGGAGGGAGACAACCTGAACTGTTGACTTTCTGCTGTCCGGAGGGCACAGCCATTTTGATTGTTTACATGTGGCAGCCATTTTGGATATTTAAAGTGACCGAAGGTGCAGCCATTTTGAATGTTTATAAGTGGCAGCCATTTTGGATACTTAAAGTGACCAAGGGTGCAGCCATTTGGAATGTTTACAAGTGGTGGCCATTTTAGATATTTAAAGTGACCAAGGGTGAAGCCATTTGAATCTTTACAAGTGGCAACCATTTCTGATTTTAAAGTGATAGCATTCTCATTCGGATTCCAAGGACCTAAGAATAGGTTGTTTTCCAAGGTCAGCAGGGACATACGAGAGGCTGACAACAGGAAAGGAGACAGGTGGTGAGTGTATAAGTGGTGTCACCTAGTGAATACAGGAGCACAGTACCCTGCTTGCATAGATAACATACAAACAAAACAAAACAAAACTCGTAGGCAAGTCACTCCAACATACAATCACCAATTAAATATAAACACAAAAACGTCATAATGCCTTGGAGAAACAGAGCATCACAGTCCACACAAAGAAGCAAGATAAAGCAGGAGAAACAAGGGACAAGGATACAGACCCAAAACACAACCCTGAGGAATATGTAGCATTAGAACTCCCTGATAAGGAATTCAAAAGAGTTATATTTAGGTATCTTCAATGAATTGAGAGACAGATCAAGGAAAACACAGAGAAAACCCTAGAAGAATTTCAAAAGACAATACAAGAACAAAATGACAAAATAAATGAAAAATTAGAAATGATATAAAATTTATACACAGAAATCCAGAAGATTAATACTAAATTTTCAGAAATAGGTAAGACATCAAATGGGCAAAGGAGTAGAATTGAATCAACGGAAGACAGAATTAGGGAGACTGAAGGCAAATACCTGAACACCTCTTTGGGAAGGGATAAATCAGAAAAAAGATCAAAACAAAATGAAGAAAGCCTGAGGTTCATGTGGGGTGCCATCAAAAGGAATAACCTACATGTAATCAGAATTTCAGAACAGGAAGACACAAATAAAACCACTGAGAAAATTATCAAAGATTTGTTGGAAGAGAATTTTCCTTGTATGATGAAAGATGAGAATATATCCATTCAGGAAATCCAACAAACCCCAAACAGGATAGACCCCAAAAGAAAATCACCAAGACATATCATCAAACTCACCAAAACCAAAAACAAAGAATCATGAGAGCAGCACAGGAAAAACAAAAAGTTACCTACAAGGGGCAACCAATAAGACTAAGCTCAGATTTCTCGACAGAAACCATGCAGGCGAGAAGAGAAGACAATGGGATGGTATATATAAAACACTGAAAGAGAAAAATTTTCAACCAAGAATTATGTACCCAGCAAAATTGTCCCTCAAATATGATGGGGAAATTAGGACATTGCCAGATAATCAGAAATTAAGGGAATTTGTTAAAACCAGACCAACCTTACAAGAGATAATAAAGGGTGCCCTTTGGACAGCGAAGCAACAACAGCTAACAACAACTGACCATTAACACACATGATGATATAACCCAGAAACCAACCTAGCTATGGAAGTAGCCAAAGTAAATAAGCCTACAAGATTGTAAACAGGGAACAAGAGGCATCAATTGACAAATGAGGACAACTACAAACCGAAAAGAAGGGGAAATATTGTGTAGTTACAGAATTTCTAGATGGTAGGGAAGTCAAGACAACTACAAGATAGGATGGACTGTTCTAAACTTGGGAAGAAAACTATAAATCACAGGGTAACCTCGAAGAAAAATGATAAACCTTCATATCAAAAAAGAGGACCAGCATAAATATTCAGCAAATACTAAAACAATAGCAATGAGGGAAGTGATAATGTGATTCATGAACAAAATGAGCTCAGCATGGAAAATTGAATGGAACAAAGAAATTGACACCACGAAAAAGCACATGACAAAAATGACAGCAAAAAAATCATATTTGCCAATAATTAAATATCTGGCAAGGGACTTATCTCTAAGATTTATAGCGGAAGAGTGGATGACCAAACTATGGTAATACACATGTTATGCTATGCTATGTAGCACTAAAGAATAATGTAGAGTCTGCAAAACATCACATAATACGGATGAAGTTGGAGGACATTATGCTGAGTGAAAGAAGTCAATCACAG